GGGGATTTTGTTTGCTTGATGCGGTTTTGGCTTTCATCTCTGTTTACGTCTCCTGGATCATATTAGGCATGAGCTGCATTCCTTCTCTGCTCATAAAAGAGATGAATACATAATGTATGGGTTCAGACATTCCACCCAGAAGTAATATTACAGATTTGGATGCACACCTACATCCCCAGACATGGTAACTTTTCGTAGCTTTCACAGATTCCAGCAGGATGTCTCTGTACAGGAGTTCCCAGCTTTTTATACCTGCTGAGTCTGTCTACATCAGGGGTGCTCAACCCTTCGAAGAACGAGGGCTACTTAGAGCGGAACTCCACCCAAAAGGGGAAGTTCCGCTTTAAGGTCTGCTCCCCATTAAGGATTGGCACCTTTGCGGGGGGGGGGGGGGGTACCCGAATTTGACAGGTACCCACTCCCATTTCCTGTCCGATCGCCTAGCCCAGGGGTAGGCAACCTGTGGCTCTCTAGCTGTTGTTCAACTACATTTCCCATGAGGCATTGCAACATTACAAAACTGACAGTTACAGCTATGACTTGCAGAGGCATGATGGAACTTGTAGTCCTGCAACAGCTGGAGAGCCGCAGGTTGCCTACCCCTGGCCTAGGCGATCAGAAACGGATGGTGTCCTCCCTCCCTCCCTCCCCGAAGTCCTGTGGGACACGTGACAGGTCCCAGAAGACTACAGGACCATTCATGAAGCTCAGCGCTACGCGCGCATGCACAGTGGGTACCCGGCTGTGAAGCCGCAAGCTGTCACACCCGGGTGCCCACACTGAAGATGCCGGCCTCCTGGAATCCAGGATGGCCGGTGAAACGGGCTGCGGGGGACACACTGAGGGACAGGTAAGTGGCTGTTTTTTTAAAAGTCAGCAGCTACAGTTTTTGTACCTGCTGACTTTTATTCTTTGACAGGTGAGTGGAACTCCGCTTTAAGTGATTTGGTAGCCGGTTGTGGGCCACAATAAAATGAACAGGTTCAGAATTTCACATTTTTTTATTTTAATTCTGAATAGCATTTTAATAAACATTTTCCTGCTGAATGCCAGTGGAAGGGAGAGGAGGGGAAGCCAACTTTCAGCGGTTGCAGGAGGAAAATGAAGATCAATTTCTGTACATGCCACCCCTCTTGTCCAAGAGTAAAACAGAATGTGACAAGGAGGCTGCACGGGCCCCCTGGAGCATGGAGCAGGGTCACCATTGCAACCCCCTGATGCTACACCAGTAGTTTGTGGGGGGGGGGGGGTAAAAGCATGTCTGAACCATGGGGTTTTACCACCACCCCATACCACACATGTAAACTGCTAGAGACTAGGGAGTGTGGTGCACTTTCTGGAAGCGAACCAAAACTCCTGCATTCAGGATATAATAGAAGTGCCTTTCCCTGGTTGTAGTCGAGGGTCGCATCAGAGGGCTGTGAGTGCCATATGTGTAGCAGGCGGGTCACAGGTTGAGCACCCCTGATCTACATGTTTAATGTTTTTTAATCACTTTTCGTCCGGCCCACCCATGTAAATAAACTGCTGAACGAGAGCGCTGCCGGAGCGGGTGGACGTTTCTTTTTTTTTTTTTTCCAAAAAGAAAGCCTTTATTAATAAAGAACATAATGGTACAAAAGACATGTACGGGGTACCTGAGCGAAACAGCAGGCACAACCTACAGCGACAGCAATAACTCAAACAAGAAAACCCAGACAATGCAATGATACAAAACACAAGGTTATGCTTGCAACAAACCGGAGCCAATATAGTATAGTATGGGGTGTAATTGCATCATATCTCCTGCGCTCGAGCTTCGCCATGCAGGGCTGTAGCGATAGGGAGGATGGTCATGGCACCTGAACGTAGGATTCTGCCAAAAGCTCGTGTCAATGGGAACAATTACAAAACCGGCTTCGTTGTGGTAGGGGCCGTTGATGGAAGTGGGGAGAGTGAAAGATTGGCATGTCTAGTGTTCCAGGTAGTAAATCAAAGCGAGAGGCGAGAAAACAAGAGAAAGGAGAAAAGAGAGAAAGGGAGGTAGAAAGAAAAAAGATAGAAGCAGAGAGGGGGGGGGGGGGTGGAGGGAAAAGAGAGAAAAAAAAATTAAACGATTTTACATAGTAAAACATTGCTGTTTCAACCCATTTCACATACATTTTGTCCCGAGTGCTTTGTCCGGAGCCCTGTCTGCATTTTGACTGTTCTTTCTGCCTGGAAACTGAGAAAAGTCCATGGCGTCCAAAAAGCGTCCCTTTAGGTCAAAAGTGGTTTTTAGACCAGCTAGAGAACAGCGATAGTAAATCAGAACCACTTGCAGAATTGAGTGATAATGATTCGTGGGGGAAATTCCTCATCAGACACTGAAAACGATTTTGCGACTTTGCTCAGCAATGTGCGAACTTGGCGCTCTATTTCAAATTTCAGTTTTTTTGGTTTGATTATATTATTGAATTCAATTTATTATTATATTATTATTTTTTATGATTATTTATTATATTATAATTTATGATTTCGTGTTTCAAATTTTATCATACCCGGGATGTTTACTAGACTCTTGTTCGGACAGATTTCAGTGAGTTATTCCTAAATATTACAGCCTACAATAAAAAACTATATATTTCCATGCAAAATAATGGTACCGCTTTCAGCACCAAAAATCTGAAATAATCATACCGCCAGGGAGGTTAAGCTAACGCCAGAGTCGCGTGGGAAGGGATACATCGTCGAGGAGAGTCTCAGTGCCTACCACAAAAACTACTGTAAAGAAGTAACATCAGCAGGAGAGCCGGACCAAGTCAGACCTGATGGTCCATAAGAGACTTGTATGTAGGAGTAGTTGTGAAGTAGATACAGCAGGGGTGGACGTGTCCCCCTGCATCCACTGCCACGCAATCAGTGTGAGGTCCTGATTCATGTGATCACTGATTGGCCAATCAGAGATCACATGAATAGTAGTAAGCAAGATGTCACTTCCTGACATCATTGCTTACTACGTGTGAAATCTGTGAATGATCACAGAGATCACATGGTACAAGGCTATTCACAACAGCCTTGTACCATGTGACAAGCTGTGACCAATCACAGCTCACACAGTATTTCTCAATGGCTGCAAAAATGCAGCCAGAGAGAAGGAGAGATGAATGCTTTTACAGCCTTTATCAGAGGAGCCAGCAGAAAAGTCCCTTGGATAACAGTCACGCCTAGCCACATTACTGGACAACAACGTCTTATCTCGTAATATCACACTTTTGCCACAAAGCAGCTTCTTATCTACCCTTAACTTAAAGATTTCTAACTTCTCAAACAAGTAAACATTTTTAAATGCACAAACAGGGGCGTAATGACCATTTGGAAACTTGGGCACTGCCCGAGGGACCAGGGTCAGTAGGGGGCCCCATGAGATGCCCCTGGTACCTTTTTCATAGGCTTTTTTGAGTTTGGGCAAGGACACAGGGGCCCCATGATCCCCTATTGCCCGGGGGCCCCATGAGTTGTCAGTCCGCCCCTGTGCACAAACAAGTTCTTATCTAATTTAAGCAATCTAATGAAACATTTCTAGATGTTACAAACACCTTCAATCTCACAAACACGTCTTATCTGCTTTAAGCAGTCTAATGTCTTGTGACTCTGATCCTTTAGCCTAGAGAAATGACATCAATGTCATTACTTGTGCTTCTGGTATTTGGGCAACGATGCTTTATTGTAAACATTTCCCAAGAAACAAAGGGTCCAAGGCCAACACATTTCATAGGCATTACAGCTGTGAACACAGGTCATGGGCACCCTGACCGGTCTGCAGCTACAGCTCCCATACACAACAAACTGTGATGCCAATTTTTCTGCTTTCAACCCATCAACTTCAGGGACATGTTTACTTGCTGCCTAATATATCCCACCGACTTTCAGGTGCCATTGTAACAAGATAATCAATGTTATATACTTCCCAGTCAGTGGTCATAAAGTTATGGCTGATCGGTGTACGTTTTTGTTATCCTTGTAATGTTTACCTGAAAGTGCGTTTTCATAGGACTAGCTTGCTGTTCCATATTTTGATTATTTTATTCATAAACAGATATGTAAATGTGATTAGTGAGCATAAGATATCTATAGACATGATGATGATGAATCCAGGCGCCTCCAGGTGATAGTCACTGGGAGGAATGGTTGGCACCCCTGGCAGGTTGATCTTGGGGGACATAGAGATTCTTGCTGGAATGATCATGCTTATTTTACCCTTGATAAATGACCGGAGCGTTTGACAGCCAGATCGACAGGATACATATATACTGTATTTATAGTGGAGTTCCAGTTGAATAAAAAAAAAAAATAAAAGTCAGCAGCTAAAAAAACTGTAGCTGCTGACTTTTAAAATACAGACACTTACCTGTCCCTCGGTCCAGCGGTGTTTTCACCATGGTTGGTTTCACCGGCTGTTTTCTCTCCCCAGCGCCGGAATCTTCAGTGTGGGCATCCGGCTGTAAGAGCTTTCGGCTTCACAGCCGGGTGCCCACTGCGCATGCACTTTGTGAATGGCCCTGTAGTCTTCTGGGACCTGTCATGTGTCCCAGAAGACTACGGGGATGGAGGGGGAAGGACAACTTCCGCTTACGATTGCCTTAGGCGATTACACCGGACGTGGTAGCAAGTACCCCTGTCTATCCGCCGTCTCCCTGTCTATCCGCCGTCTCCCTGTCTGTCCGCCGTCTCCCTGTCTGTCCGCCGTCTCCCTGTCTGTCCGTCTCCCTGTCTGTCGTCCTCCCTGTCTGTCCGCCGTCTCCCTGTCTGTCGCCGTCTTCTCTGTCTGTCTCCCTGTCCGTCCGCGTCCCTGTCCGTCCGTCTCCCTGTCCGTCCCCTGTCCGTCCGCCGTCTCCCAGTCCGTCCGCCTGCCATCTTGTCCCCTCCGTCTCCCTGTCCGTCCTCCCGTCCGTCCTCCGTCCCCTGTCCTCCTCCGTCGGTCCGTCTCCCTATCTAACTAACATCTGTCTCCCTTACTATCCGCTGTCTCTGTGCAGGTGATGCGTTATCAGGTCCTTCTCTCCTTGATGCTGTCCAGCCAGACAAAGGATCAGGTGACCTCGGCAGCCATGGCCAAGTTACGGGAACATGGACTAAATGTACAGAGGATTCTGGAAACTGATGAAGAGACTTTGGGGAAGCTAATCTATCCAGTAGGATTTTGGAAGGTGAGACAGGCAGTGATGTAATACCATAGTAAAAAATGGAACTAAAGTTGCTTTTGTTGAAAAAGTGCTGACAGGCAGTATGACAGCAAAGAATGTGTGTGTTTCTTCTGTCATAGATGCTTCTACCTGTCTGTGAGAACTTTCTGCATGTGTACAGCGAGCCATGCATGCACAGCTCAGTGTAGAGTCTTTGCATGATCTGTGCCAGGACAAACTAACCTACTTATGCCAGAGTTATGTCATCCAGTCATACAGTCTGGCTGGAGGATGTCCACCATCATCTAGGCCAGGGGTGTCAAACTGGCGGCCCTCCAGCTGTTGCGAAACTACAAGTCCCATCATGCCTCTGCCTTTCAGAGACATGCTTGTAACTGTCAATCTTGCAATGCCTCATGGGAATTGTAGTTTGGCAACAGCTGAAGGGCCGCCAGTTTGACACCCGTGATCTAGGCTCTTCCTCCCCAGCTTGGCTCACCCCGCCCCCCCCCTTTCTTCAGATTTTGTTTTTTTTTTCAGTGAAGCAGACTCAACATTACATCAAATGCAGCTTGGTTATAAATGCCCGCTTCTCCAGACAGAATTCCACCCATGATGTATCTTGATGTTTGCATAACTTGTCCAAAGAGTGCTGTGATAGAGTGCTGTAATGTTTTCAAAAAGCTGTGTACAGCACCCTGCCAGCTTCTCTGTATGCCATGATCTATATGCATTGCATAGAAAAGCACAGAGACGCAGTGATGATATCACCACTTTAAAAAAAAAAAAGATATGTTATGAAAATGGAAAGGTTTTCGTTAAAATTTTATGAACATGTTGGATGAGACCAAAAGAGGGACCAGGGAAGGAAAAATACAAGCAGATTAAGGTGGACACCTTTTATGAAACTGAGATCAGCGGCGATCCTGAGGATCATTCCTGATCTCAGATCATTAGTGGATGAGGAAACAAAGATGATCAGTGGAGAACATATGATCATCTCAGCACACAGACGGCCAGTGTATAAAGGAGCGATCACCAAAAATCCATTATCTCCCGTGCTCAAAGACTCAGATCAAACGGGGGATAGGAACAAACAGCGTGTTCATCCGCTGGTGATCAGAGGTTGTGCAGCTCAATCATGAAGCTGGGGAAGCTTGATAAAAACTGTAGAAGGGGATGAAAGAAAGAGCGCACAAACCTTGCGCATTACCTCAATAAATAGTGACTCATTTTATTTGGGAAATATACTCACAAAAGTGATTATAAGTGTCAAACAGGCTGAATTGATGTGATACTGACACTCAGCGGCTGAACGTCCCCTTGTTATGGGAACTCTGCTATACTGAAGTTTCTATCTGCCAAACCCAGCACTGATGAAGAAGGGAGAACCCTTCGAAACGTGTTAGCTTTTATCCCCCCCCCCCCTTTGGATTTACCTGTAACCCTGTGTGGACTATAGTTAACTTATGCCTGTTTTTTACCGTCACTTTTGTGTGTATATTTCCTAAATAAAATAAAATTAGTCACTATTTATTGAGGTAATGTGCAAGGTTTGTGCGCTCTTTCTTTCATCCCCTTCTAGAAAGGAGCGATGCCAGACCTTCACTGGCGATCTGTGTTCTCCCTCCAGATTCTCCAGCCCAGAGGTGGAGAATCAGGGGAACCGTAAACGAAGCAGCAGCGGTAATTTACCGCTGCTTATGCAGGCCATAGGCGGGTCGTTTATCGGCCGAATTTTTGTCCGCACGAAAAATCAGCCGATAATCACGCCGTAAGTTATCACGACGTTTTTCGCGGATCACTTCATTTTATTTTTTATCGGTCATGCTGGAAAATCCACGAAAAACGGTCGTTGTTCGTGGACGTTGGTGGCAGCATCGGCAACGGGGCCGACCAATTTTTCATTTATCGGCCCATCTATGGCCTTCCTTAGTAACCTGTTCTTGACTGATCTCTTACTGTAATCTCGCGAGATTACAGTAACAGCAGCCGTGTTCCAGCGTTCAAAGCGTTTGTAGATCGCTTCTCTCCTCATTCGGAGAAGCGATCTACACCGCTCCATAAAAAGGCATTCAGAGGAGAACTCCGGAGAACTGAGCAGCGGTCATTTACCTCTGCATGATAAAAGGACAAACTGGACTGAAGCCATGGAGAATGTTACAGAGAACAGTGCCTTGCCAGTACTTGGTGCCATTTTCTGCAGCACTGAGAACCATCCACTGCCTGGGCAATAGGAGGTTGATAAATGCCAGGCAAGTGATTGCCCTACTATGGGAATTATTTGACAAACACAGTATACCAGTTTGCAGAGTCGGTGTGTTGTCTGTGGCTTCTTGTTGTATAATTATTTAACCACCACTTGCCCTCCAGAGTATTTACCCCAATTCCTGACCAGGCCTCTTTTTGCTATTCGGTGCTGCACTATTTCAACTGGTAATTGCGCGGTCATGCAATGCTGCACCCAAACTAAATTGATGTCCTTTTTGTCACACAAATAGAGCTTTCTTTTGGCGGTATTTGAACACTTGTGCGCTTTTTATTTTTTGAGCTATAAACAGAAAAACCCAAAAATTTTTAAACAAAGCCACAATATTTTTACTTTCGGCTATAAAAATTATATCGTAATCTCAAAGTTAGTCATCAATTTAGGCCAAAATGTATTCTGCTACATGTCTTTGGTATAAAATAATCCCAATAAGTGTATATTGATTGCTTTGTGTGAAAGTTCTAGCATCTACAAACTATGGTATAGATACTGCAATTTACGCCATAATTGGCTATACAGCGCTGCGCTAGTTTAACTGACAATTGCGCGGTCATGCAATACTGTACATAAATTGAATTTGTGTCCTTTTTTCACACAAATAGAGCTTTCCTTTGGTAGTATTTGATCACCTCTGGGGTGATCAAAAAAAGACCAAAAATTTTTAAAGAAACATTTGTTACTTTTCGCTATAAAAAAAAAATATAGTAAACTCAAATTTCATCATAAATTTAGGCCAAATTTTATTCTGCTACATGTCATTGGTGGTATTTGGTCACTTCTGGGGGGTTTTTTTGCGCTATAAACAAAAAAAGACTGAAAAGTTTTGGAAAAAACCCTATATTTTCTCATTTCTGTCATAAAAAAATTATGCAAAAAACTCAAATTTCATCATAAATTTAGGCCAAAATGTATTTTGCTACATGTTTTTGGTAAAAAATCCCAATAACTGCATATTAATTGGTTTGTGTGAAAGTTATAGCATCTACAAACTATGGTATAGATAATGGAATTTACACAGCTTTTACTTTGACTGCCCATCACATTTCTTGAGGTGCAAACACCCCCAAATGACCCCTTTTCGGAAAGTAGACACACTAAGCTATCTGCTGAGAGGCATGTTGAGTCCATGAAAGAATTATTTTTTTTCCACACGTTTTTGGAAAATGACAAAAACATTTTTTTTTTCTTTTTATACAAAGTTGTCATTGAATGATATATTGCTCACACAAGCCATGTGTATATGTGGAATTACACCCCAAAATACATTCTACTTCTACCGAATAAGGGGGTACCACATATGTGAGACTGAAATCCAATGACCACTTTAAAAGCCTGAAGGTATGTAACTTCCTCATTTCACTTCCTGACTACCTATCACAGTTTCGGAGGTCCTGAAATGTCAGGATAGAACCAAACCCCCCCAAATGACCTCTTTTTGGAAAGTAGACAACCCAAGGAATTTAAAAAGAGGCATGGTGAGTATTTTTCAGATCTCATTTTTTCTCACAAGGTTTTGAAATATAAAAAAAAGAAAAAATATGTTTTTGTTTTCTTTCTTCACTTTCCAAAAACTTGTAGCAACAAACAAGATCTGCAATATACTCACCATGCTGCTTATCAAATTCCTTGGGGTGTCTACTTTCCAAAAAGGGGTCATTTCTTAGACTGCAGGCATCATCCTGTTATGTTCTTTTATTTCTATTTGTCTATGCACTCTTTGGGCTTAATGGAAAAAAAGAGAAAAAATCTCTACCAGAAAAAGTGTGTGGTATGCCCACCATTAGAATATACGGCCATGCATCCACCCACTGCTAATGGTGGGCACACATGAAATGTTTTTTTTTTAACATTCAGCCTGTGGGCTGAACGAAAAAAAAAAAAAAAAAAAAAATTAACAGATTCCTCTATTCACATTGGCCGATGTGGATGAAGAAATCTCTGCCCAAATTTTTTTTAAATATATACAGAATTATAGGGGCCATCCACCCACTGGCAACCTCAAACCCTCATGCTTCAGCATATATGTTCTTTTTTTAACTGCGGATGAAAAATCTCATCCAACAGCACTGCACACAGCTACTTATGTGTATTCTGAGAGCAACACCCTGTTGCTGTCAGAATAAACAAGTCGGTGCTGCAGCTGAATGGCATTCCTGCAAAGAAAACAGCAATGGTTAACAATAAAACAGTTAAGTCGTAACAGTAGAACAATAACTTGACAACAACAAAAAAAAAACTATAACTATTTTTGGTTTTTAAAATGTAAAGTTTTTTTTGTACTTTTCAGTTTTTATGTTTTTTTTTTTTTTTTTTTACTTTTTTTTTTGCTTCCCATGTAGTCTGGGCATCCAGGGGGTCCAGGTGACTATCTTTTCCCTCGTAAATCCAAAACTTATATGTATAGCCTGCTGCCCTCTCACAGGTCTTATACATCTTGACCCCATATCTGGCATGTTTGCTGGGGATAAATTGTTTGAATGCAACATGGCCAGAAAAACTAATGAGGTACTCTTCAACACAGATGTTTTGCTGGGGAGTATAGATATCTGCAAATTTTTGGTCAAGGTGATTTACAAGGGGCCGACTTTTGTGGAGCTCTATTAAGCTTGTGATCTACCAGAACTCCCAGATCCTTCTCCACCATTGATTCCCCCAGTTGTACCCCCCTAGTATGTATGATGCATACATATTCTTATCCCCCAAGTGCAGAACCTTACATTTATCAACATTAAACCTCATTTGCCACATAGTTGCCCAATTACACAGACCATTGAGGTCGGCTTGTAAATTGGAGACATCCTGTAAGGACGTTATTCCACGGCACAGCTTGGTGTCATCTGCAAAGACTGAAATGGGATTTTTAATCCCAGACCCTATATCGTTTATAAACATATTAAAAGGTAAGGGTCCCAACCAGGGGCGGACTGACAACTCATGGGGCCCCTGGAAAATAGGGGATCATGGGGCCCCTGTGTCCTTGCTCAAACTCAAAAAAGCCTATGAAAAAGGTACCAGGGGCATCTCATCGGGGCCCCCTACTGACCCCGGGCCCTCGGGCAGTGCCCGAGTTTCCAAATGGTCAGTCCGCCCCTGGTCCCAACACTGAACCTGTAAGGACGTTATTTCACGGCACAGCTTGGTGTCATCTGCAAAGACTGAAATGGGATTTTTAATCCCAGACCCTATATCGTGTGTGTGTTTATAAATACATTTTTTTTTTTCATTTTATAAGTGATCACATGACCTCTGTTCTCAGAAAAAAAACAAGTCCAAATTATTTTAATAATATTGTGTTTAGCAGAATAGGAAGCTTATAGAGTTTGGGGATGGAGACTGCGAGGGGAAGGGGGACGTCAGCAGGAGGCAGAGCAACAGCAGAACACTGGTCTTTCTAGTGAAGAGCTGTGCAGGGGGGCGTGTGCTCCCTAGAAGAATGCAAAAGCAGAAAACTGACCATGCAGGTATGGATGGCTAGTGTGGCCAGTTTGAAATAGGAAAGAAGGGACTGGGAGGATTACCAGGTGTTTGATACAAATGAAGCAGTGCAAAGAGAACAGAATACTTTTTAATAAAAGTACACAATAACACAGACACATATCAGAAAAAATGACATGTTGGTGTAATACAAGTTGAATTATCATTGTCTTGCCTTCTTACAATAGAGCAAAGTAAAATACATCAAGCAGACCACTGAGATACTGCAGGAGAGATACAGAGGCGACATACCTGATATAACGTAGCCGAGCTGGTGAAACTTCCTGGGGTGGGCCCCAAAATGGCTCATCTGGTCATGGACATTGCTTGGAACAGGGTATCGGGGATTGGTAAGTCTAACCATCGATGTTAGGACTGGAAACTTCCTCCACTCCACTAGTGTTGTCCATTACGGCTGGTGACTTTCTGATAATATTTTTATTATAATACAGGATTTATATAGTGCCTGCAGTTTGCACAGAGCTTTACAACCTATCAGAAATCCATAATCAAGTATTAGCTGTTGTTTTGGACGTAGAAATAAACGAATAGCTTGTTGTGTCATAGTACGGAAGTGAAACAAAAGCAATGGCTTATTATTTGTCACTGCTGCCTGGCAGAGCTGGGGTCCAAGGATTTGTTCTTAACTGACAGTTTCCAGTATATGGTTTCCTTTGGGAATCTCCAGATTCTTCCTACATTAAAAATACACTAGTAAGTTATACTAGACTTAAACCATACCTGACTCTTGTAATGTTTACTAAACAATTACCATGATTTTTTTTTTTTTTTTTTAATAAAACACTTTTGTTTAACTGTCTGTTGCCTTTTAAAGCTGATGACCTGTAGCTCCTTCCTGTCTACATCGACTACAGTGATGGCTGCATTGCACTTCTCAATGTGGGTTTCCTAATGGTGACAATAGTGGACCATGTCTGCTTAATGTGTGTAGAAATGGCCACTTGTAGTCGTCTCCATTGGAAGCCAATATAACAGGGTGACAACATAGGAGCACAATTGGGAGAGTGCGTTGTCACCCTACATTATTATTTATTTATTACAGGTACCTATATAGCACAGTCAATTTTCGTATCACTTTACATATATATTGTACATTCACATCAGTCCCTAATCCTCAAGGGGTGTACAATCTAAGGTCCCTAACCCTCAAGGGGCGTACAATCTAAGGTCTCTAACTCACATTCATACATACTCATACTAGGACCAATTTAGACAGGATCCAATTAACCTACCAGCATGTCTTTGGTGTGTGGGAGGAAACCGGAGTACCCGGAGAAAACCCACGCAGGCATGGAGAACATGCAAACTCCAGGCAGGTGGTGCTGTGGTTGGGATTCAAACCAACGACCCTAGTACTGCCAGGTGGAAGTCCTAACCATTTAGCCACTGTGCTGCCCATATATTGTATATTAGCAAGTGTTTAACAAAGACCCTTATGGTAGGATCACCAGGTATTCTTTTATTCCAAACTACAGATTGAAAATTACATAGTTACACAGTTAGTCTGGTTGAAAAAAAGACAAAAGTCCGTCCAGTTCAACCATTAAAAAAAGAAGAAAAAAAAAAAAGTTATAATCCTACACCCACAGTTGATCCAAAGGAAGGCAAAAAAAAGCCCAGCAAAGCACGATCCAATTTGCTCCTGCAGGGGAAAAAATTCCTTCCTGATCCCCCGAGAGGCAATCGGATATTCCCTGGATCACCTTTACCTATAAATGTTAGTATCCAGTTATATTCTGTGTAACTAGGAAAGAATCCAGGACTTCTGTAAAGCAATCCACTGAGCTGGCCAGAACCAACACTTGAGGGAGTCTATTCCAAATTTTCACAGCTCTTACTGTGAAGAAACCTTTCCATGTTTGGAGATTAAATCTCTTTTCCTCCAGACGTAAAGAGTGCCCCCTTGTCCTCTGTGATGACCTCAGGGTGAATAACTCTACATCGAGTTCACTATATGAACCACTTATGTATTATACATGGAGATCATACCCCCCCCCTTATGTATTATACATGGAGATCATATCCCCCCTTATGTATTATACATGGAGATCATATCCCCCCTTATGTATTATACATGGAGATCATATCCCCCCTTATGTATTATACATGGAGATCATATCCCCCCTTATGTATTATACATGGAGATCATATCCCTCCTTATGTATTAAACATGGAGATCATATCCCCCCTTATGTATTATACATGGAGATCATATCCCCCCCTTATGTATTATACATGGAGATCATATCCCCCCCTTATGTATTATATATGGAGATCATATCCCTCCTTATGTATTATACATGGAGATCATATCCCCCCTTATGTATTATACATGGTGATCATATCCCCCCCTTATGTATTATACATGGAGATCATATCCCCCCCTTATGTATTATATATGGAGATCCCCTCCTTATGTATTATACATGGAGATCATATCCCCCCTTATGTATTATACATGGTGATCATATCCCCCCTTATGTATTTATACATGGTGATCATATCCCCCTTATGTATTATACATGGAGATCATATCCCCCCTTATGTATTATACATGGAGATCATATCCCCCCTTATGTATTATACATGGAGATCATATCCCCCCCTTATGTATTATACATGGAGATCATATCCCCCCTTATGTATTATATATGGAGATCATATCCCTCCTTATGTATTATACATGGAGATCATATCCCCCCTTATGTATTATACATGGTGATCATATCCCCCCTTATGTATTATACATGGTGATCATATCCCCCTTATGTATTATACATGGAGATCATATCCCCCCTTATGTATTATACATGGAGATCATATCCCCCCTTATGTATTATACATGGAGATCATATCCCCCCTTATGTATTATACATGGTGATCATATCCCCCCCTTATGTATTATACATGGTGATCATATCCCCCCCTTATGTATTATACATGGAGATCATATTCCCCCTTATGTATTATACATGGAGATCATATCCCCCCTTATGTATTATACATGGAGATCATATCCCCCCTTATGTATTATACATGGAGATCATATCCCCCCCTTATGTATTATACATGGAGATCATATCCCCCCTTATGTATTATACATGGAGATCATATCCCCCCCTTATGTATTATACATGGTGATCATACCCCCCCCTTATGTATTATACATGGAGATCATATCCCCCCTTATGTATTATACATGGAGATCATATCCCCCCTTATGTATTATACATGGAGATCATATCCCCCCTTATGTATTATACATGGAGATCATATCCCCCCTTATGTATTATACATGGTGATCATATCCCCCCTTATGTATTATACATGGAGATCATACCCCCCCTTATGTATTATACATGGAGATCATATCCCCCCTTATGTATTATACATGGAGATCATATCCCCCCTTATGTATTATACATGGAGATCATATCCCCCCTTATGTATTATACATGGAGATCATATCCCCCCTTATGTATTATACATGGTTCCCTAGTGTTCTTTTTGTGAATTGGTGCCCAAAACTGAACTGCATATTCCAGATGAGGTCTTACCAATGATTTGTATCGGGGGAAATGATATTTCTCTCTCTGGAGTCTATACCTCTTATAATACAAGAGAGGATTTTGCTTTCTTTAGAAACCCCAGCTTGGCATTGCTGCCATTATTAAGCTTGTGATCTACCAGAACCCCCAGATCCTTCTCCACCATTGATCCCCCAGTTGTACCCCCCTAGTATGTATGATGGATGCATATTCTTAGCCCCCAAGTGCAGAACCTTACATTTATCATGCAAATGTTAACGGTTGTATGAGATTTGAATTATTGGCTTTTACGTACATTATAACTTTCTTCAGTCTAAACCGCATTTAAAATGCAAGGTGATGCTTTTTTACCCGTGGGTCCAAAAGCAAAGTGCTGCAAAACCTTTCCTCTTTTCTACATGGCCCAGCCCCTTCCCTTAACAAACACAGTGATGCAGGAAGTCTTTCTGCCCGAACAGACAGGGCGAACTGTTGTAGGAATGATGTTGCTATCATCCGAATTCTGTAGGCACCCCAGTGACCATTATGATCACACCTAGAGTTCATGTTGTACAATCTCTGCCCTCAGGTGTGGACACTCATGTACATCGAATTTCCAACCGACTGAAGTGGGTAAAGAAAGAGACCAAGAATCCAGAAGACACTCGGGTGGCCCTTGAAGACTGGATGCCCAGGTGAGGAAGCTGCACATATGGATGTATCAGCAATAAAGGTGGATGATAGGGTGACATAATGGGTAATCCTGTAGCATTGCAGTCCTGGGCTAATTTCCCCACCAGAGAAACTGCACTGAAAATGTTATGCTGCTGGGGGTATAGACTGGAAGGAGTGGTTCTCTGTACTCTGTGAGTTACTCATATATAAAAGGTAAATGTACATTGAGACCAGGGGTGGACTGACCATTTGGAAACTCGGGCACTGCCCGAGGGCCCGGGGTCAATAGGGGGCCCCATGAAATGCCCCTGGTACCTTTTTCATAGGCTTTTTTGAGTTTGGGCAAGGACACAGGGGCCCCATGATCCCCTATTGCCCGGGGGCCCCATGAGTTGTCAGTCCGTCCCTGATTGAGACTGTTAACAGGTTTACATTCATGGACAGGTCATTGTTGACTAATGTTATGGCAGGTTTATTCCAGCCCCAGCAACACATTGGGGGTGATTTACTAAATATAAATATGTATCGCACCTACATCTATAACTGAACTCATACTTTCTCCATCAATTCATCCCTCACTTGCCCCCCCCCCACCCTTTTTAAATTGTAAGCTGTCACAATGGGGCCCTCCTGACCTTCTTGTATTGTCACTGTCTTGCTTTATTTTGTAAACTCAGAAAACTAATATATATTGATAATAATATTCCTTTGGCTTAAAGCAGACCTTCACACATTTCAGATTTTCAGAGCAATATTGCGACAACACTGGAGTCCTGCTTTAAGTGTAAGGCACTAACAAGCAATGCTGTGGTTTGTAGTTCCTCAGCTGCTGCTTTACAAATTTAAGATGAGGAACCAGCTACCATGTACAGGCGTACCTGGGTTTACGACTGAGGCCTCAGTTAACGTAATTTTCGGTTTACAAATGAAAATCCATTGAAAATAATGCCTCGGTTTACGAATTTTCACAATACAAACGGATTAATTGGTTTTCAATGCATTTACAAATTTTTTGTTAATCGTGTCCCTGTTGAGTACTATGCCTTTAAAGTGCACTTTATAAAGAGTGTTGAACAGATAAGACTTTTTTAGACTTTTTTTTTTATCTCCAGAACAGATTAATTAGTTTTCATTGCATTTACAAATTTTTTTTTTTTTTAATCCTGTCCCTTTATGCCTTTAAAGTACACTTTATAAAGAGTTTTGAACAGATAAAACTTTTTTTTACTTTTTTCTGACCTCCAGAATGAATTAATTGGTTTTCAATGCATTTACAAATAAATTTTTAATCATGTCCCTGTACAGTACTATGCCTTTAAAGTGCACTTTATAAAGAGTTTTGAACAGATAAGACTTTTTTAGACTTTTTTTCTGACCACTGGAATTAATTAATTGGTTTTCAATGCATTTACAAATTAATTTTTAATCATGTCCCTGTACAGTATTTATGCATTTAAAGAGCACTTTATAAAGAGTTTTAAAAAGTTAAAAGACTTTTCTTTTTTTTTTTTTTCTACTTTTTTATGACCTCTGGAACAGATTAATTGGTTTTCAGTGCATTTAGTTTTTTTTAAATCATGTCCCTGTACAGTATTTATGATTTTAAAGTGCGCATTATAAAGAGTTTTGAACAGATAAAAGACTTTTTTTTTTTTACTTTTTTATGACCTCTGGAAAAGATTAATTGGTTTTCAGTGCATTTAGGAATTTTTTTTAAATCATGTCCCTTTATGCCTTTAAAGTGCACTTTATAAAGAGTTTTGAACAGATAAAACTTTTTTTTATTTTTTTCTGACCTCCGGAATGAATTGGTTTTCAATGCATTTACAAATTAATTTTTAATCATATCCCTGTACAGTATTTATGCCTTTAAAGTGCACTTTATAAAGAGTTTTGAACAGATAATGACTTTTTTTTTTACTTTTTTTTTGACCTCCGAAATGGATTAATTGGTTTTCAATGCATTCCTATGGGAAACCGCGTTTCAGTTTACAAATTGTTTGCAATACGAAAGGTCCCGTGGAACAAATTAAATTCGTAAACCGAGGTTCGCCTGTATAGACATTTCAGCTTTAGCATTTATACTTGGGTCTTTTGCAGGGATCTTTGGAGTGAGATTAACTGGCTTTTAGTGGGGTTCGGGCAGCAGATGTGCCTCCCTGTGACACCTCGATGTTCCGAGTGTCTGAACAGAGACATCTGTCCTGGAGCCAAGAAAAAGTGAGGAGGTCCATGATCCCGCTTGTGATGGAGCCTGATCCCATGGATGGACTGCGGTAGAGTCACAAGACTACAGAAAAATCTTTAGATCAGAATGTTTTATAGACAACATGGGAGATTTTTCTACTAGCCTTCCAATGATGTTGTCATCTATCTCTGTGTATATAAGTGTATATATTTCTATATTTACATGGTATCAGTAAATTTGGTATTCTTTTTGTTCTAAAGTGTTAGATGTTCTTTTTCTTTAAATCATATTTCGTAATTTCCTAAAATAAATGTGTGGGCATCCTTTTTTTTTTATGAAGATTAGCCATTAGAGGAAGCACTTAGTATCAGTGTCAGGTAAAAAAACAAAATGCGCACCATTTGTTTCTGGGCTGTACTACAGGTACAAACAACAAAAAACATACACATATATGGTATCGCTGCGATAGTTAAGAGCTGGAAAGTTTATTTTGGGTTGTTCTTTGGTGGTAGGTTATGATAGTAACAAGAAATACACAGCTAAATTAACAAAAATTATTTTTTTTTACTATTTTGGGCCAGTTTTCCTTTGATAATTAAAACAGAAATTAGGAGATATGCATTACCATTTACCACCAAATGAAAGCCCCATTTGTCCTGAAAAAAACGCGGTATAATTCACCTGGATGTACAAAGTAGTTGTGATGATATGTACGGTTTTACTAACACATGTCAACGTTGCAAAATTGTGCTTAGGCATTTAGATTTGTTTTATCCTTAGGCATGAAGGGGTTAATATACTGTTCATTTTATTTTTACCACGCAAGCAGTCCCTGATTGCTAGCCAACTCGTTTTTCCCATAGTCGCCACTTGGTACCCTGTAAAGTTAGTGCCCAACATGTCCAAAAAAAAGATACACTGGTGAAGAGGCCTACAGGATTCTGAGCATAACAGATGAGGGGGAAGGGGTGGCCCTAAATTTCCAGGATAGTACAAACCCCCCCCCAAATGACCCCATTTTGAAAAGTAGACACCCCAAGAGGTATTTGATAAGAGGTATTCTGCAGATATTTTTGTCACAAGGTTTTGACGAATGAAGAAAATAAAAAAAAAAAATTTTTTTTTGTTTTTTTCTTTGTTTTCCAAAAACTTGTGGCAATAAATGACATCTGCAAAAAAATTACCATGCCTCTTTACATTGGAGTGTCTACTTTCTAAAACGGGGTCATTTTTTTGGGAGGGTGTACTGTCCTGGCATTTTAGGGCCTCCGAAATTGTGATAGGAACTTAAGAAACCAAGTGTGCAAGTTATGCCCTTTAAAAACCTGAATGTGCCCATTGGATTTTGGGTCCCCGTATGCAGTTGGCTCTCAAAAAGTCTCACATGTGGTATCCCTATGCTCGGGAGGAGTAGCAAAATGTATTTTGGGGTGTAATTCCACATATACCCATGGCATGTGTGAGAACTATCTAATTAAAATGACCAAAAAAAAATGAAAACAAAAAATGTTTTTGTCATTTTCCAAAAAATAAAATCTTCCATGGACTTAACCTGCCTCCCAGCAACTACCTTGGGCTGTCTACTTTACAAAAAGGGATCATTTGGCATTTTAGTACCTCAAGAAATGTGATGACAGTCAGAAAGTCAGAGCTACTTAAAGCTGCATAAATTCCAGTGCCATAGTTTGTAGACGCTATAACTTTCACACAAAAAAGTTTTGAAACTTTGCAGTCTTTTTTTTATTTATATTGTAAAGCGCTGAGCAAACTGTTGGCGCTATATAAATCCTGTATAATAATAATAATAATATATAAATCCTGTATAATAATAATAATATATAAATCCTGTATAATAATAATAATATATAAATCCTGTATAATAAGAATATAATAAAAAACCCAGTGCTGATCAAATACCACCAACAGAAAGCTCTATTTGTGTGAAAAAGATTATATAAATGTCATTTGGGTGCACTTGCCAGTTAAACGGCATTCACACTTGAGAATTTTGTAGCTTGAAGCTCCAAAAACACTCAAACGTAAAAAAAAATCAGTTGTTCTCTATGGTGCCTGTTCACACCTGATCACGCAAACAGGCACCATAGAGAACAATTGATTTTTTTTCAAGTTTGAGTTTTTTTGAAGCTTCAAGCTACAAAACACTCAAGTGTGAATGCAGCCTTAAAGTAGCACAGTGCTGCGTAGGAAAACAAAATGCGCTGGTCATGAAGGGGGTAAAACCTTCTTGAGGTAAAGTGGTTAAGGAAATAGCGGAGGAGATAAGAAAAAAAAGGAAAGATTAGTGATGGGAGGGTAAAGATTGAGGGATTGGAGAGGGGGGACATAAATCTTCTAAGGCCCCTTTCACACGGGCGTTCTGTACGTCCATTGTTCATCTGTCTGTTTACGGATGAAAAACAGACACCCATGTAGTTCTATGGAATAGCGGATGTAAACGGATGATCATCTGTTTACATCCGTTAATGTGTGTATCCGTTAATATCCATTTTTTTAACGGAAAAAAAATCTATTTTTCTTCTGTCAAAAAAAAAGGAACGAACAAAAAATGGATGTAAACAGACAAAACTAAAACGGATGTAAACGGACAAAAACTGGATAAGGACGGATGTAAACGGACAAAAACTGGATGAAGACAGATGTAAATGGACAAAAAGGATGGCGATGGATGTAAACGGACAAAAAGTTGATGTAAACGTTTGAAAAACGAATGTAAACAGATGAAAAACTGATGTGAACTGATCTATTTTTTCTTGGAAAAAAACGTGACTGAACTGATGTAAAAAACAGACCGCCCGTGTGAAAGAAGCCTATGTGTGGAAGTCAGGACGGAAATAAACAGACTTACTTGGGAAAGCCTTTATTATGCACATAGCAGTTTACAATGTATTTTTATTTTCGTGTGTCATAGATAAATGTTGTCAGATATGTGCCTTATATAATTACAGGTTTAAAAGTACAAAAATATGATTCCAAACAGAGCTACATATAGGCAGCTGAATGGCCGTCTGCAGTCAGCAGTTTCCATTCTCTAACAAAATATTGTCCGTTCCACATGTAGTTATCCCGCAGGCCTCCCTTTCTACCAGCAGAGGGCAGAGTTCATCTGTTTTGTCAGTAATCGGGAGCAATGTTGCACAGCGGTAACATCAACAGTGGCGTTGCTCGTGTCAGGCACAGTCCTGCCCCTCGTGGCCGGTTTTAAGAACACTTGATAAGAAATTTGCGTCCACTGTTAAATCAGAAGTTCTGTTAAAATAATAAAGTTCGCTGTAAGCCAGCTACATCCTTCATTGTTTTGCATAACATGCCTTTGCCTTCTTCACAGCAGTCGTAGTCCATGGGCCAGGTTTCAGAGGATTGCATGGAAGGCCACAAGCTTTATATTTGTGGCCCCAGGCCAGTGTTGCCCCACAGGGATAATGGCTGAAGTCTCATTTAAAACATGTCTGTGATTCAGTAATAAACAGGATAAAAGGAAGGTAAGTACGCACTATCCCTGGTATCCCTGCTTCTGGAAGTGTCACATATAAAGCAAACTTGTGCTTTGCCTATCAAGTTTCCTTTATTGTAACACATACCATCTGCCTTCTCTTCCCCTTCCCTGCTCAGCTTCAAGAAGCAAAAAAGGTACCCAATAATGCCAGGTAAGGAGGAGCATATGATGTACTCCATGGGGCAGGCACCAGCGCCATCACATGGCGAGCTACGAATTACATTGCTTTTAACTTTCAAAGGGCAGTTGCTTCTGCAGCCGAACATTGCACCGGGGAAGCAAAGGAAAGGTGAGCATGTGCAGCTACTGGGGAGGGGGTTTGTTAAAGGGAACCAGTTGCTTTGCAAGCATGGTCAAAGGAGAGGTTCATTTAACACCTGTCTCTTGCCCATGCCAGTTCAGGTTTCTGTACATCTTTGTTGCTTGAGTGTTACCTTGGTAGTTCTAGGAAGTTAGGTTGTTGTAGATTTAGGTTTGCCACAATAGTTCATTCTAGGTGTGAGTTCATTCTCCGTTCTCCCACTACCTAACCCCTCCTTACTGTTGTCCCACTCGTGTAAATAAAAAAAATCAATGAGCAGAGCTTAAAGTAAGAGAGGCTTAACCATGGATGGATTTTGCCTTTTGTGGGGCCTAGGTACGTCTTCCCACTGTGGCCTCCTCTGAATAACCTCCACCGCTTCACTTTGCAAAAGTGTTTCCTTCCCTCACTGTAGTCATTATGGGACAGTGCAGTAGTCAGCCTGCTGCTGCCAAAATCCTTCTTCTATGGCCTCATTACAGGCAGAAAATATTCACATTGTGGGTTCTGGCAGCCATTTTGGGGAAGCCTACATATCAGTAAGATGACTTACTTTCCCCTAGGTTTATATTGGTGCCACTAAGGAGAAAAAAAAGTTTTGTTACAAAAATGAGGAAGGTAGTAGCTTTTCTTCATCACTCCTGGGCCCTAGTCATACTGTCTAATAGGAAATCCAACCCTTCAACTTGTATACAATAAACTATGCATAACACAAGGACCATAGCTACCTTACCTTCCCCTGTACAGCATATCATTTGCTACACGCACAGAAAACATTTCACTGCCGGATCATTATTGTTACCAAACAGCAGTTCCAGTCCAAGCAATTCATGGCCAGACCCCCAATTCATCTCCAATCCCAGCATCCATGGCCAGAACCCCAATTCATTTCCAATCCCAGCATCCATGACCAGAACCCCAATTCATTTCCAATCCCAGCATCCATGACCAGAACCCCAATTCATTTCCAATCCCAGCATCCATGGCCAGAACCCCAATTCATTTCCAATCCCAGCATCCATGACCAGAACCCCAATTCATTTCCAATCCCAGCATCCATGGCCAGAACCCCAATTCATTTCCAATCCCAGCATCCATGGCCAGAAACTCAATTCATTTCCAATCCCAGCATACTGTACTAGACCCCAATTCACTGCAATCCCAGCATACAGAGCTAGATCCCAATTCATTTCCAATCCCAGCATACAGTACTAGACCCCA